TTTAGGCTAGACTTCGTTACAAAGAGAGTGTTCGTTTTACCGAATTCCTCGTTATAACGAATCATAGATGACCACCCCGTGCCTTCGGTATAACGGGGTTCGACTGTACTATTGCTTGTTTAAATAAATGTCCATACATATTAATATTAATATTAGTTTGTTTTAACGAATTAATTTTGAGACAAATTGACTATATACTTCTACGTTGTTATTCTGTTCCAAGTAATTACATGGGATTTTAAACCTATTTTATTAGATATCGGTGGACTCATGTCCTCTTCGTCATCATCAACTGAAGGTGCTTCTTGGATAATCGTTACCAAATACATAGTCAACCTCGGAAATATTCTGGTCCCGATTTATTAATAAGAAATTTACCTCGTTTAGCCAAATTTTTATAATAAATCTCTGTAATCCGCAGTTGTGTAATAAAAATTCCTCGTTAATCCGAAGATGTTTGTTAATCCGAAGATCTTTCTCGTTAATCCGAAGAATCTCATCAGCTTATAAAGCTTAACCCTCTTTGAATTTATTTTTTCATAATGAATCGTAAGCCAGATTGCCGAGATAGATAATCATTTACTTGGAGAAACTGAGAATACCAATTGAAACACTAGAACCGTGTGGAGAATACGAGGATGAAAGCCCAGTCTCGCTTGCATTAGCCAATGAAAGCATCGATAATATTTTAGACAAGAATATTATTCGGAATGATTAAAGTACTTGAAATACAAGTAAGCGACAATTACATTTTGACAGTTTTTTCGCACCTCAAAGCGAGACACATAATCAGATGTTAGCAGGTGGAAGCGTGTAGAACCATCTTGTGTACGTTGTGATAATAATAACTAAACAATAATAAAGACTTAAGTTGTAAACCGAATAATTATTGAATTCAATAGCAAGTTCGGATTATTGAGAACAAACCTCGTTAATATTAATCCGAAGATGCCGTTAATCCGAATTTAAGCTTCGGATTAACGATGTATTTTGTAGATCTTTATGTGAACACGTGATCCGACTTATCGAGAGTCACTGTCTTAACAACTAACGCGAGAGAGAGGAAAAAAAGGCTGTATTGCGTCAAATTGGGGAACCAACAGTTTTACTCCTGTTCTGTTCCCGCAGGCATAATAATCGGTTAAGTGACACATAAATTATAATTGGAGAGTTGTTTTTTTCCGACAAAACAACCATTCAAAGGAAAAAAATTTTCGCAAAAAAAAACCCCCCAAATTTCGGGATCACTACATGAAATAGGTCTTCCAACAAGATAACGACACCTCCTGAAAGGTCTTCCCAAACGGGTTCTTCCTTGGCCTTCATCCAACCCAGACATCAATCCGATTGAAAATATATGGGCTGCTTTAAAGAAGAAAAAGGTCAAGTGCAGAAAAAACAAGTATAAATATTAACAGCATCAGAAGCATGCAAGATCTAATTAAAGCATACATTGATGCTGAGGATGTCACGTTAAATATTGATTTACTAATAAAAGTTGTAGCGTTGGTTTTTGTCTTCAAATATGAAACATCTATATAAATTAAAAGCCATTACTTTCGCTGGGGACCTCATTCATATATATTATTCGTGTAACATGGGGTAAATAGAAATCCCTTGCAATGTCGGATCTGCATCCTCCCTTCATTCAGTACGTTCATGAAGAATGACCAAAGCGCAAATAACGAAAATACCCATCTTAACAGCACCAAAAACTTATACACCTATACAACATCCACCTCTCTCTGTCAAACAGGAAGAGATCTTGAATCGATTGTCAGACTACGTGAATGAAATTTTACTAACTGATAGTGAGAAAGCATGGGCTAATGAGGCTTGTTTGCAGAGATATTTAAGAGCATCAAAGTGGCATTTGGATGAGGCGATGGAGAGAATAAAGTGTTCTTTGGAATGGAGGAGAACGTATAAGCCAGAACATATTGATCCAAAAGAGGTTGAGCCAGAGGTAAATATTAATCTGAATGAAAACAACGTGACAGATTATAGAAGCTCTATAAATATTGGTTACATTATAAGTAAAATAGTAAATGATACATTTAATATTCTCTCTCCGACCAAAGTCGGTCACTGGTAAAATACATATCAATGGATTCGATAAACATGGAAGACCTATAATATATCTCCGGCCAGGCAGAGAGAATACAAAAGCAGGTCCAGGACAAGTCCGGCATGTTGTTTTCTATTTTGAGAGTGCCATCAGACTAATGCCTGAAGGTACAGAAAGTATTGTAGTTTCGATTGACTTCCATGGGGCATCGGCTCGAACGAGCCCTGGGGTTGGTATTGCAAAGGAGTTTATGCATGTACTAAGCTCACATTACCCAGAACAGCTTGGGTTAGCATTGGTTGTGAATGGTAGGCCGTGTTTGGGATATATAAAAGAATTGAATTTGATTGGAAAAGTGAATATTTGCTAACATCTCTACGTTCTAGCTCCATGGTATTTCTGGGTATTTTTTCGTTTAATCTCTCCTTTCATTGATCCGGTTACAAAAGCGAAAATAAAATTCGTCGACTTGAATGATGGAACGAAGGCAGCAAGCGCCGATCAATGGACAACTTTGGATCAATTTATTAGCCATGATATGCTTGAAAGCGAATATGGAGGAAATAATGCCTTCGAATATCATCATGAAACATATTGGAGTGTCTTACTTGAGAAGACTAATAGGGAAACAACTCGTCAAGTTCTCAAGGATTGATAAAGACATGCCACCGCAATTATATTTATTGACTTAGAATATTTTTCATCCGCTAAGCGGAATTTCAGAGTTGTTGCGAGAACAGTCTCCACCATTATTTCTGAACGTTTGTTTTTCGATAGAGAATATCGCTCAAATAAATTTAATTAGTTTTCTGGTATTTATTGCAAACGCAAGCTTACTCCAGGAGCACAATATTTCGATTTTGAATAGTTACTGCGCTGATAGAAGAGAAATGGGAATGTGGAATGAAGGGGTTAGTAGTCCAAGAGCAAAAGGCAAGACTATTCATGTGATCCACACAGCCAGCAAAAACATTAAATTCAGGCAGTGTAGCTCCCACCACAAATAGTAACCTCTGGAATATTAGGTGACTTATACTTATGGTCGATATTTAGTTGATGATATTGAAAAGAGACGTTGTCTAACAGAAGCTAATGAGAACTTCCAGTAATAATAATGACAAGATTAAACTACCTCCCACCCACTCCATTTGCAGTGAAAAAAGTTAAACAGTCTGTTTTGCAGCTTAGACAGACAGTCGGGAACACATTGAGAGGAAAAGCAGTTAACAGAAAATGGTATTCGAGATATTCAAATGATGAAATTAATTCTAATAGATCTTTGTACTGTTAGGTAAATACCGTAGTATCAGTGTATCTGGCATATTAATATGTCAATTCCGAACAGACATAACATTCTATGACTTCCAAATTACGTGAAACTATGTGTTTACTTCTACAGTTTTAGTATGGGGGGTAAAAAAATTTTTTGTATATACAGCCCACTCCAATGTAACACGAAATTTTAATACAGGTCAAACCTGTTTAAACCGGCGGACCTGGTTTGCCGATTCTTGGCCGGTTTAGCTAAGGACCGGTTCAAAAAATTGTTCAACTAGAGAAAGTTTCTAATTAATGAAAGTTTGGTGTAGTCTTGAGGCGGCCGGTTAAGCCCGAGACCGGTTTAATCAGCGCCGGTTTAAACAGGTTTGACCTGTATGCGAAGTGCAATAATTTTTGTATGGTTCTGAAGCTAATTGATTATGCTGTTCGAAAAAATAACAATAAAATTTTATAAGTTATTGTTATAAGTTAGTAGCTCGACGAAGCGTGAGTATACGTATACATATTAATATATAATCATATATTTTCATATCGTGATTTAAAAGACAGCTGCATCAACTTGCTACAGCTTAATAGTAATAACTTATAAATTTTATTGTTATTTTTTTCGAACAGCATAATCAATTAGCTTCAGAATCATACAAAAATTATTGCACTTCGTATAGTACACAAGAGCAGGAGAGATTTTTGAAAAAAAAAAAAAAAAAAAGACTTTTCATATGTTTTACTATTAAAAATTCGTGTTGCCCGGTTATTTATTGGAGGGGGCTGTGCATATGTACCTCGCTCAATTTGAGTCCATTATATTGGAAAAACATCCTCCAGAGGTAAGCACAATGTTGAGAGGTTTCAACAGTCTTAAAACACACTGATCACATTGGTAAAGATTCTTTAAACAAAAAACTATGGGTTGGATTTTAAATACTTCTGGAAGTTGGTTAAAAGAGAGACAGAATAAGAAAAGCGCACAGGATCAATAGTTGACTTATTATTCTTGTCCACCAAATTCTGAATTGGCAAAAATACGATTGCGTATACAAGACCGAAAATCCAATTTAAGGTCACTAACTGTTAATTATAAATAGGATTAGCAGATCCAGCCTCGTTTGAAAAAGTTAAATCTCAAGGTTAATTGTCAATCGCTCTCCCGTAGTACGTGGGCGAATCAACAGAACAATAATGGAACGACAGTTCCAGGATATACTGTACTTACGATTAATTATTGATCAACTTGAGAAGTCACGTTGAGTAATTATCGAGTCAAAGAATTGTGGCAGTTGAGCGATGCGAAATTTTCTTTAATCATTTTATTACAACTATTAGAAGTTGCGAAGCTTGTAGTTGGCCACTAAATGCCAGCCCAATTCTGACAATAATTATTTGTGCCAAAGTATCTAGAATAAGAGCCAAATAAATATGTGTGTATAACTGGTGGAGTATAAACAGTTTAACCGCGAGTGAAATAATAAATAAATATACAGTGTTCAGATTCATCATACATGCTTACAAGTGATCCAAATAAACTCGTATCAATATTATACAATTGAAAACAGAGTACATATAACGACTAACGCGGACTGAGAGTAATTTACAGCAGAGATATGGATACAAGAGCTGGTAATCAACTATATCTTCATATTGTTAATTAAGTTTACCACTCCCCTCGATCGGTTATGACATGGACAAATTTCATTCCTTTTGTTGCAATTCTTAGACCATTTCTGCTGATCTGATTGCGACGGAAGAATAGTGTTCTCGTAATATCATTAAAACCAGTGCTTTGAGTAAACGCAACAGCCGCTTTATCCATAGCTTTTATAACATACTCTGCTCCAATGTCTCCAATGACATTATCATCCAAATTAAGTACCTGCAGACTCGTATTCAACAGCAATCCATTTGATAGACTCTCGACTCCGTGATCATCAATACTATTTCCACTCAGAATAAGCTTTTGTAATGAAGTGTTTTTTTCTAGGGCTTTAGCAAGTGATTCGATGCCTTTGTTACCCAATTTACAGTGGTTAATATTAAGATTTATGAGTGATTTATTAGTTTCCAATGATGTAGCAAGATATTCAACACCTTTATACCCAAAGTCATTATGACTGAGATCAAGATTTTGTAAGTTAGACTGAGGACCACTCAACGCTGTTGACAACGTCTCCATTCCTTTGCTGCGAATGTGATTCCAAGATAAGTCCAATGACTCTAATGTAAAATTGACTTCTAATGCACGCGATAGTAATTCTGCGCCTTTATCAGTAATCATATTGCCAGACAAGTCAAGATGTCGCAATGTCTTGTTTACCTCTAGGCATTTACAAATAAACTCAATACCTTGGTCGCCAATTTCGTTCTCAGTCAGATTAAGTGACTGAACGGTAGTATTGTTCCTTAATGCTTTCGAAAGGAGCACTGCACCAACTTTCTCGATCTCACTCCCTTGAAGATTTAGAGTCACTATTGTTTCACTTGAAGCTATCACCTCCGTCAACAATTGCCATGAATATCCCGGTTGAAAGTCTACTAGATGGAGACATCTTACTGCTGGGTTATATTTTAATATAGTGCAAAGCTGCTCCGAACTTTTCACGTCAATTGCATGCAACTTTAAAGTTGATAAAGCGATTAATTCTTCCTTGTACCCACGTTGCAGAAGTTCTATCTTCCTCTCTAGAGTCATCATATGAAGATTGATCGCGCGAAATACTTCTTTAAATTCTTCAAATTTACATCCATTCAAATGTGCGGCTAAGTTCCGTCTCTCAAATTGCTCATTACAACCACCAAAACTCCCAAAGATATTACGATGTGGACATGTAATGACCTTCCTATGACACACGTAATCGTGATCATTTAACTGATGGAAAAGAAACTTTTGATTGCACAGTACACATTCGGTTTCGCGATTAATACATTCATCCCTACAATGAGCCTGATGAAGCAAGAAGTTCGGCATATTAACTCAAGGTTAAAATTCTATAATACAAATCCACAGACAGGTACCTCGGCTCTTTCACTAGAATAAAACTTTTTAAGACAGCGTAGCGGGCAGCCTATCATCTTATAAGCGCACTCTTGTCGATGTTTTTCTATATTCTTTCTCGGTAGGACTTCTTTACAATCGGGATGATCTTCATGTTCATTGCAGTTTACAGGGGCATACTGGCAATCAACCTGAGAAAAAGAGAAAATATATCTAGTCATCATTATCAACAGTAATATTAACAAGAATAAAAGCTGCTGACTAACTTGGAGATGGTATCTGAGTTCCGCTCTTGTTCCCTGCCACTCGCATTCAGGTGAGTACGGACAAAAAACTTCTAGACAGTCCAATTCATTTTGGGTCTTGCTTGCATTTTGCAGCTCACATTCCTGACAAGGAGCTCGGCATATTGGACAAGTTCTACGTAGTTCCAATGCTTGGACTATGCAATAATGACAAAATAAATGCTTACATCTTCGCGTTCGCTTCACAGAATCGAAGACTTCATGACATATAGGACAGAAATAGTCCTCGCTTATGCTGTCAGGCTTCACATATTTAAATTCCTCGCGGACAGCGGCATTTTGTGACGATCTTCCTGTTCGAGTCGCGGGAATCATAAGCCCTAACATGTAACACTCCTCAAGAGTCTGTAGATGCCACCTGGTGAATTCAGAGAAAAATTCCCAAATAATAATAACTTGTGATAAATTAACCTTATTTAAAATAAGGTGAGTTCTATCTTTGCTGAGAGAATCTGGCCAGCAAGTAAACTAGCAAAGGATCGAACAAGGGACAGTTGGATCTAGAATAGTAAGTTAACAAGACAAGGTTTACATCGGCCAACTATAATGTCGTACAATGCACATGTGAGCTGTATTAAAGAAATCGTTTGAACTTCGCCATCGTAATTTAGAAATCCTAATTGTGAATACAAAAACTTGAATTAATAGGCGAACAGCCCATGAAGAGTGGTATTTTACGAGAAAATCGTGAGCAGAAAAACTCGTGTGATTGATGGTTTTCCTATCAAGCAAGACATACCCTTGTTTGGGTAACGGATCAAGAACCATATTGTTAGTGATTTACGACGCTCCAATTGATGGGGGCTTCTCTCCACCAGCAACGACAGTGTATCTTCAACCACCAGGGATAATTTATATTTGTCAACAACTATATACACTACCCTACAATAAATTACCGGATTTCGTATTATTTTACTAGTAAAACATATGAAAGTTTTTTGGTTTTTTTTTTTTTTTCAAAAATCTTTCCTGCCCATGTGTACTATGTGAATAACAATAGTTTTTACATGGTTTTGAAGCTAATTAATTGTGCTTTTCGAAAAAAGTTAACGATAAATTATATATATCATCGTTATAAAGCTATAGCTTTGTGAAGTGGCAGTCTTTAAATTATGGTATAAATATATATGGAGTACATATACTCTTTTCTACACCTTTATAACAAGAATATATATAATTTACTGTCGATTTTTTTTCAAAAAGCACAATTAATTAGCTTCAAACCATACAAAAACTATTGTCATTCACCTAGTACACATGGGCAGGAAAGATTTTTGAAAAAAAAAAAAAGACTTTTCATATGTTTTATTAGTAAAATAATACGAAATCCGGTAATTTATTGTAGGGTAGTGTAGTTATTAAGCTTAATTACGTGGGCAGTTCAATTCTCTCATGCCCTCGTTTAATAGGCCGATAACCTATCCAACGTTGTGAGATATCTTTGTTCAAAGTTCGCGTTTATCGAAACCAATGGCTCGAATTTCACGTGAACAATATATTAATATTCGTTGAAATGGCAAGACGCGACAGATGTTTATAAGATATAAAGCACTAGTATTCGCACAGTTTGACAGTGGGTTAAAATTTTCAATGATAGAAGAGATGAGGAAGGCCTTTGTGAAGCACTCAATATGCTTAATAAAGACCCTCAAAAAAATAAGAGCAGGTTAAATTTATGCCAATCAAATTTACCTTCTGTTTTTCGAAGGTACAAAGAAATTAAGAAGAGTAACTTATAACCGTCGCCAATGCTGCGCCTCATCACACATTTTGTCCCGTCCTTTTTAATGTCAAGAATAACTTTAGCGTTCACCTTGTAAATGTCATTAATAAAGGAAGCAAGCCTTCTAGAATTCGTCCCATATAACTTTTTTACTAGAATTATGAAAACATTTGCAAGAAAAAAATGTATAATTGTAGGAAGAGACTATTTGAGCTTAAATAATTTTGTATTATCAGGAATACAAGATTACAACGCGGCTTACATGATTTGGTTGCAATAATTATAATTAAAACCCAACCTACGGAACTACCGAATTAAGAGGGTAGACGTATAACTCGAGAACGACATAGTAATCGAGGATTAGACCGTGAGCCTGACTTAAAGATCACTAACCGTTGAGTTGTATTTAGCTAGGTAGGAGAAGCCATAGCTCCGATCGAAATAAGCTAAATCCCAAAGTCAATAGTCATCCGCTCTCCCGCGACCATTGACTCGATACTTGACATTTGTTGCCCTGCCAATACACATCCATTATCATGTGGCATTGCTGCTCTACACCAATGCACAATGGTGTACTTTAGCAGTTAGAATTTTTGGTACAGTAATTCTTTGGTTTCATGTATATTTAATGTAATATTATTATTATATAAATGTAGCCCTATGCTAACGCGTTATACCCATACCGGATGTCTACTTTTATGGATATTAATATGGCAATGCGCCCAGTAAACGGAGGTCTTTCGCAGACGAGTGGAGGCCAGAATCGTCTTGCGCGGATGATTAAACTTGATACTAGGCCTGTGGGGGTTAGGATGGCTGTTTTATTATCGTAATAATTTTAATTACCAACCAATAATGTCATATACTACTTTATTTAGTAATAGTAATGCTGATTTATTACTATATGCAGCTCGTGATATGTAATAAACGACGTGACGATTGGTGGCTTAAAAACAATGCAAAATGATCAAATAGGCCCTTATTCATGTTATAATCGGCGTATCAAAAAGCATGGAATTGCCCATGAATTAACGATTTGTGACCGCGATCCATCATATAGTCTGTGTTTGCATGCTTCACCCACCATAAGCCTATTATCACTCTGGACGAAAAACGCGATCTCGCGACTTGATAAGGCAATCTCTCGGATGCGACGAAAAGTCAAACACCTGCAGAGCGAACTTCATAAAAAGAGCGTCGCATTTTTCACTCGCGAATTCGATGCCATTATCATCCCTCCTTTTGAGGTGTCGAATAT